ATATTTGTCATGTTATATATATATATATATATATAATCATAGTATATATATATATAGAATATATATATAATAATATATATATATATATAGATAGCATTAATAGATAGATAGATAAGATAGAATAGAGATGAGATGAGAGAGAGGAGAGAGAGAGAGAGAGAGAGAGAAGGAGAGATATAAGATGTTAGCCGATTTTCCATGAAGCCTGATTATATTTGCAATGACGCCGTTTTCCTCTTACTGGTTTGCAACTTATTACAACTCAGACAATTTGCTTCAATCAGGTAGTTGGAGATAATTAATTGAAGTCACCCATCGGAATATTCCGTTTTCTTCTAATTGAGTCATTTTTTCCCATGTTTTTTTCAAAGCTCCGTTTTCTTTTTCTGTTTAGTTTGTTGTCTCTGTAAATTTTTATTTTGTTAATCATATATTATTATATCATTACTATTGTTATTATTCATTATTCATAATGTGTTATTATTGTCATTATCATTATTGTTTATTGTCTTTTCCATTAATATTATTATTACTATTATCATTATTATTGTAATTATTATCATTATCATTATAATTATCATACTAATTATTATTATTATTATCATTAATTATCATAATTTATCATTATTGGTAATTGTTAAATGATAGCGGACGCCCCCTTCATGAGACCTCAAGTCGAAAAAATTGATTATTTTCTGCGGGAATCCCAAGTGAATTCATCGATCTCGTTCTGTTAGTTTCTTCTTGCGAATGAATCGTTCAGATCGAATACTATTTCTCTCGTCGAAGATCTTGATTTGATAGTCCGATTAAAAGAAGAGGGCGTGAAGTATATCAGGGAATTTAAAAACAGGCTTAAATAAGAAGAATAGCGGAACAATAATGGCGTTTTTAAAATTAGAAAAAAAAAACGCTTAAAATCAGCCGATTGAAACCTCTCACGGGACGTATCCGCCATCTTTTGAAAGTTACACGGTTCTGACGCGGCCAAAAAGTTAAAAAAAAAAAAAAAAATCTACGGGAATCCCAACCATCTTGCTACTTTGAATGGCAACATCGATTTCAAACTCAAAATCCAATGGCTACAAGTAACATGTAAGCAATTGTCTCAGCTGAACATATCCTAAAACTAAGACCCTACTGACGTTCTGCTCCACCGTGGAAAATGTCGGACCCTAAGTTGTATTTTATACTACTGCCACCCCCAAAAACAGTTTCCCCCCCCCTGCTGTACTTAAGCAGTATACTTTAGCAATTATCACATGAGCACCTTTGAAACTATTTGCCCAATGCGTGATGAATGCTACCATGCATGGGATCCTTGCAGTTGGGAGCTCGAGCAGGATGCGCTTTTGTCGTATACAAAACCAATATTTTAGCAGCACCAGGGATTGCAGGCGGTCATGACTGGGGCCAGCACCTACGCAAACTAAAGTTGGCAGGATATGCTATAGCCACCGAATTTTCTATTACAAGTCAAGGCTTCAGGAGTCATTTTCTGCGACTCACAGAGTGCTCTCCAGCACTTGAAACACGCTAGACAAAGGTGCAGGAAATATTGCAAAATGACATAAAGGATAAATGTGTATCGTGCAAAAGAACGAGGCCATGATATACGTTTTGTGCGGATTTACCATCGCATGTTGGGAATCCCAGGCATGTGACAAGCAGAGTGTGATATAGATCTTGGAGTATCTCTTGCTAGCGATTTCACACATGATTAAACTTTCCTTCAAAGAGGACTTGTCTGACTTGATTAATTTTCAACGGCCTGAAAAGCTGTAGCATAAAGCACTATGACCGGTTTATGCAAGCATGTATTCATCTATGGTTT